TTGAAAAATATAATAATATTCATTTGTCAATAAATGTTAAGGAAACTGCCAATATTTTAATATTAAATTGGCTATTTTCAATATTGAATTGACGATAAATATTAATCAGAACGTATTTTTATCGCGCGCTTCTGCCAAATGTGACTATTTGATATTTATTTCACATTCTCTTTCAAAATGCATTTCATATTTGCTTCTGTTAAAAGTTTATATCAATATATAAGATATAGCTTCAAATCAAAGTTTATATTAAATAAAATTCAGATATTCATATTTAGCGAAACGTGAAATAAAAATATGTAGGATACTTCAAACACATCGCGTACATCTTCTTGTCATCTCTCACTTCGCAACTTTCAGATACGTACGTTACTAAGCTTCGAGATCCGGTCAGATGAAATCCTCATGACGTTAAACGATAATTAAAGTTTATTATCCGTAGAGAAGATCAGAGATCACGACTGATTTTAATTTCATGATTCTTTCTCGTACGTCATTCTGTGCACGCACAGAATTAAGAGAAAGTACGCGATACGTCTACGACCCCGCATACAAACTTATATAAACACTTGACCGCTCGATCTAATTAATTTTTAACAAAGAGAAGTCACGCGTCGATCGATCGAACTCCGGTATAAATCCTCGCAATCCTCACGATTTTCTCGAATCAGGCAGATCGTTCATGTTTCGAAACACTCTCAAGCAGTTTTTTGTTAAATTCTAAATATATATATATCTTTTTTATATATATTATTTTCACATATATATATATATATATATATATGTACTTATATTATATTATATTATATATATATATATATATATACCTCTCCAAAAAGAAAACAAGGAAATCACTAGGCCTAATTGGCGGTGCGGGGTAGGGATGTCCGGCCTGAATACGCCCGAAGCTCCGACTTCCGGTTTGGAAACGCTACGCTTTATCCCCTTGCCGCTCGCGCGTACTTTCCAATCACCTTATTCTTCCGCTTTCTGTCCCCCCTTTTTTATCCCCATTTTCTCATTAGTTTATTGCTTTTTCTGAGCAGCGATGGGAATTGGGAACACGAGCGCGAGCGGACGCGGGCAGGTACAGATCGTTAGACGGGCACCAGCAACATGCGGATACACACGCACACACATACACGCACGCACGCACGCACGCACAAATACATACTCATAGGTACGCGAGTACGAAAGAAATTTCGTATCAGACTTACCGCAGGCCACCGCATTGTTGGCTCATCTCGGAGCTCCGTGGACGTACCGGCGGGTAGAAAAAGGAAAAGTGAACTGGAAAACAGGAGACCGTGGGTTTACGTAACCAGCTGGGAAAGTCGGAAAAAAGTCGATTAACACTAGAACGACCCCTCCAAGAGGGACAATTTCTGCCGTTAACAATTCCGACTATCTACGGTATAGGATCATCACGATAATTATCTTCGCAGTTCACGATAATTATCTTCCCTTGGAGACACATTAGATTAGAAGAAGCAATGCTGGCTAAATGTATATTATATGATTACGCGCCTTGTGTCGATAGACTAGATTCAAGATGCAAAACAACGCGCAGGCAAATTAGAGACGTTCTAGTATTAATTCTTGTTCAAGAGTTTCCTTCGGAATGATTTCAGCAATTATTTCATTAATAATTATCTTTGGTAAATAAACTATCTCAATCACGCATCTTATATACAACGATATTAACAACGGAACTGATCGAAATAAGATCTCCGATCCCTCCCTTAGAGACTTAACACTTGGAACGATCTTTTATTACATATGTAAAAAATTGATGCTGTCGAGAGTGTAAGAGGAAACCGTGAAATTGAAATAAACATACCGCTGAAAGAAGCAGCAAGGTCTTCGAAGAGAACCGACTGCAGGGGCAAACTTCCGAACGAAAGACGCAGACGGGAGGGAGCGAGAGAAGAGGATCACACACGAGGGTGGAGCTGGAGGAAGGAAACAAAAGACAGAGAGACCCGCACCGCCGCACTTATTGTTGGTCACAGCATCCGATCACGGAACCAGGAATTAGAACGCGGTGCTGGATTGTGGCTGACGGGACGCGCCGCCGGGCACACGTGGCACCAGGTGTCCACCACCAGGTGTCGAGCCGCCGCCGCCGCCGCCGCCGCCGTCGCAGACGATGCCGTCCATTGTACCTCCGACCATCGTACATCCCGGCTCCATGTCGTAGTCCGGCTCGAGCGCAGGATTCACTCGGCCGTTCGATTCGTCCTTGCTGCCGTAGAGCCTGCCGACGCCCGCAGCTAGGACCGCCATCTGCTCACCCTCGGCCGGGTCCGGGCCCACTCGCTCGACGTCCTCTGGGATGTTCACCACGCATCTGAAGACGTCGTAACCCGGGGCGAGCCGGCCGGTCAGGAAGGCGAGCTGTGTGCCGTACGACACTCCCACCAGGGTTATTAGCGACATCAGCATCGCCATTGTCCTGAATGGGAACATTTGCGTCGATGTCTCCTCGTCGTAGCCCGGGTAACGTATTAGCGGGGGCAACCCCATCATCGGTTCGCCGCCGCTGATGCGCACCAGGAAGGCGATTATGTACGCTGATAGGCTGCCGTAGGTGTTGCAGTAGTCCTTGAAGTGCACCACCATCAGCAGCTGCGGGAACAGAATCACGTAGACCAGATCCGAGCACATGGACCAGAGCCCGTAGATCGACGGTATCGTGAGGGCCATCACGGTGCTCAGTATGCCAACCACGCCGATTCCCGCTCGCATCACCCAGATGATCTCCATCTCTGACGCCTGCACAGGGGGTGTAAAAATCGCGCCCCCACGTGAGTCAATATCGAGGAGAATAAAAGAAATTGGGAAGAACATTACGTGAAGTTCTAAGGAAATACGCATGTTCTGATCACAGGATCGTGCAAAGTAGAGCTCTAGATGTACCAAAATAGTGCAAAGGTCCGTTACGTTTGCTTTTCATCTCACCATACCGAAATTCCTAATGCTAAGCCATCGTTATTTTTGCACTAGGCTCCAAAAACTTTTTGAACGGCCCTGTTCTATCATTTGTCAAACTCGCAAAAATAGTTATAGTTAACAGCGGCGCAGATATGATGAATCGACACGCGAGTATAATCAAAAGTTGACGTAATTAAGATAGTGCACAGCAATAATGCAATACCTTCACTGCGTAATACGTGTACATGTAGAAATAGTATTGATTAAAAATTACTTAGAAATTCTTAATTGGAAAACATAAAAATACTTAAACGATAAAAATAATCGTAATCTATGAGAGAGAGAGAGAGAGAGTAAAATAAAGTTAGATAGAAAGAATTAAATTATTATCTTTGTATTAACCTAAAGTAATTATATATATTTATTATTAAGTAATTATTATCTTTGTATTAATCTTCTAGAGGCGACATCGTCTTGTCATAAACAAACTTTTTTATTGCCTTTGCTTAAAAATAACTAGCAAGTGAAGAATCTATCTATCGATATTTACGTTATCGATATACATATATCGGTAAGCGTATAACCTTTCCGATGAGTAAAAGTAGGTACTATACTCCAATGTTCAACGCTTCAATTTCCATATCTTCAGTTTTTATTTTCTTAAGTATAACTAATTTATAGCGATCCCGAATTTATTCTGAATTTAATTTTTAAGTAAATCAAAGAGAAATAAACCTATTTTTTCAATTTTATTGCTTAAATATTTCAAAGTGGATGAATTTAAATTATTTACAATTCTTAAGAAGCTTCGATTAAACATTAAATTATTAATATCCTTTTGAGATGCTTTTAGCATCAAAAATTATCAAATTATTTAATACATGATATATCACTCTAGTTCTACTCATGATTGCGTTTCAAGAAAGGATTTGGTTTCCACGGTTTGCAGAATTGGATATGTATATAAATTCACTCTGAAATATTTGAACACTAAGATCCGCTTTGATCGATGATAAATTCATTTCCCTTAATTGATTTATTCTCGTCGATCTAATACGAATTGTAATTGTTTAAAGTGAACGCTGCACATAATTACAACACTCGCCCTCAGAGGGTTAATCGCAAGTTAACAAAGGTGAAATAAGATCGACGTAATTACGAATTTATTTTCGTCGTGCTGTTCATGACGAACTTTCGCGAAGAACTTTACGAGAAGCTTGTTATCAAGTTTTGCTTTATACGCATTAAAGATATGCATCGACACGAGCGGCATGTTGTGTCAAGTAGTGGTTTCGCCACATGCATGAATGCAGGATGAATAAAGCTGAAATTTCACACGAGATGCAACTGAGAAACTCACCCGCTGACGGAAGATCAATTTATAAACGTTTCTAGCAAACATCGAACTAGCAGAGAGGATGCTGCTGTCCGCAGAAGACATCACCGCCGCCGATACCGCTCCCAGCCCGAAAAAGGAAACGAAGTCTGGTGTCAGATGTTGCAAGACCAACGGTAAAATCATGCTGGTTTCCGTCTCCGTGAAAGGATAAGGACCAGTGTACTCCGTCTCGTTCCAAGCTGCGACATAATTATTATACGATTAATAACGTAGCTTCTTTTAAACATTACATTTGTTTGCGTTGGTCAATTAAATTTTCATCACTGTTCCCCTCATTTATCTTAATATCCATATCATGATTATATGTATATCGTCTGTCAAATTTAATCTCATTTGTCTTTGCCACCAACCTACATGATTGCGAGATGTTTCTAATGCATACTAATTCAGAATACCATATTGTATTCTGTAGCTGCCCTATATATATATATATATATGACTAATAGTCAGAATGATATATAGTTTCTAAAGGGCAAAGGAGAACTCTCTTGTCTTTGTCTGTTGCTTCGATTTGTATCACCGCTTGTTTCATCTATCTACCGTCTTTGTTTGACGTCACGCCCGCGTAATTCAAAGTTCTGTACTTTCTTCCTCTCTCTCTATCTCCCTTGCCAGCCGTGTGCATGGGAGATCCTTCCGCAACATACCGGCACAGGGTACCGAATTAGTTCCGGGGACGTAGCTGCGCTACAACGGGCGAGTCGCCGCGTTCACCCTCGCCCTCGCCCTCGCAAAAGCAACACATGGCGGGGTCCCACGCTATTGTGCACGCACGCGAGTACAACCCGAGACCAACCCCTCGGCCGTCCGCGCCCTTCGCGTTCGCCAACCGCTTGTAAATACCAGCAGTTCTCTCTTTGTCGCGCCACCAAATGTCAAGTAGCCTCCGAATGCGAGGAGAAGCGTGGGACTACGGGCAACCCGGCTTCTAATTCGATCCTCTCGAACGAGAAGCGGGAGGTTTGCGAAGGGGGATCATGTTACTACCCTCGAACGAGACGGCGACGATTTCGAGAGAACCAGAAACGCCTCATTTTATTATTAATACATCCAAATTGAGTTCTTTCCCAACGCAAGAAAGAGATCTTAAGACATCTTTCTCCGAGGAAATGAGAGAACGCCGAATTAACATTTTGCACGTTTTATTTTAATAGTCTCGCTTAAATGATGTATTTGAACTTATTCATTATGATATTAATTATGTAAAAGGTAACGCAAAAGATAAGCACTTAATTTAAAAACGCGAATAAATATTTATGATAAAATTTGTATATATATTTTTGAAGGAAATGTATAACGATAATGATAAAAATATTTTTCACGAAATTTTATGGCGTGACGCGGACTAGTAAACCCTCTCTCTATCTCTCCAATCTACAGCTTCAATTAACATATGTATATTGCGAATATATGTATGTTGCATATAATATTAACTGTATAACGTCAATTTAATCAATAATCAAATGCGTACTCACGAGTTGCTTTGGCAATCGCTCCAATCAAAACGGGGGGAATGGCCATCAGGATGCAACCTATAGCGGCGACGTAACTCAATACTTGAGCTCTCCCCGCGGTTTTCGAGGAGAGGACACGTTGGAAGTACACTTGCCAAGGTATACCGCCGAATATCAAAAGTAAACCGTAATCCAAATAATACCAATATTCCTCGGGACTCACTTTGCCGATCCAATCAACGTCCATGGAACTAAGGGATTGTACCTTTGGATTGGACCAAGCGAACGGGATACACATCCACTATTGACAACAAATAATTTTCGTCATTTTAATATATAAAATTTTAAAAAATTCGATAAGAGAATATTTGTCAATAATAAAATAAATAGTTAATAATAATAATATTTATTTAGTGATTTTCTAAAAATTACTCTAGATTTACTTTTCGCATTTTTCGATTATCTTTAATATTTTGAGAAAAAGATAATTATTTTTACTAAACTGTTGGTGTTTAAAATAATATCTATTTTATAAAAAGAATTTTTATATTAACAGAATTTGAAAATAATTTAGTAAATGTCCAATTCGTTTTAAATGTTCTTTTAGATGATTTTTTTTATAAGACTGGACACACGTAAAGCGGACTTTAATCTCTAATTGATTGATACAAGCTATTCAAATATCTTTTCCAGACACAGGATCTATATCGCTACTCTGATTATTTCTAAAAGGCGTGATTTATCGCGATTAATTACAGTTAATGGACGACAGTTTCACTACAGAGGGACGAGTTTGCATTCGGAACGGTATCTGAAAGGGAAGTTTCGTAGTGCTCGAAATAAAAGCATTGCGAGTGTAATATACTGTAACTCCAGTCAATTAGTAAAGCGTATAGAGGACAGCACAACTAATCTAAACATTTTCGTTCAATAATATAAACTATTTTACGTAATATACATTATATATTTTATGTGTCAATAATTTCTATTAATTGATACAACAAAATGAGATTATGCAATTGAAAATACGATTATAACTCTTAATATTTAAACATTTTTGAGTCGCACGAATTCAACAAGAATATATATCTTCTTAAAAAAAAAAAAACTTTAATTTTAGTCAAATAAATTAATCCACTAAAAGTAGAGTCTATAAAAGATAAGATCTTTGCATTGTAAAGCTTTAAAGTTCATCGTTGTAATGGAAACCTCTTCGTTAGGAGCAGAAGTCCCACTAAAATAATAGCTCGATAACGTTCTTTCGAGAAGTGGGTCACCATCTATACGTCACTGAGTATAAATTTGGTAATACAAACGCTCGCAGTAGCGAAGCCATGATATCGATTACCTCCGAAGCTTATATTGTATCAAAGACTCGTCCGACCGAGCGTTGCACGGGTCAAGTAAACCATGACATTTATTGAAATTTTCTTCTACTAAAGATACGAAAAAACGCGCAAACAAATTTCAACAGTCCATTGTAACGACTTATTTTATTTTTATTTCAAGTTATTTTTTATTATTTTAAATAAATTTCTTTTTAAAATTATTGACTATTGGTTTATTACATTTAGTTGTTCACACACAAATATACGTTCTTAATTGCATTTCCAGTCATTATTATTTGCTTGCACTAAACAAATAATTATAACTAATTGCAAATACTTAATAACGATTCGACAACTCAATCTACCACTTACCAGACCGATGAATATGCAGAAGAGCTGAATGACGTCGGTATAAGCGACGGAGTAGAGACCGCCGAAGAGGGTGTAGAAAACAGCGATGCAGGCGCTCAGGATGACGGAAGTGCCCTGGTCCATGTCGATGATGACCGCCAGCGTGGCGCCAAGTGCTGCGAGGATACCCGCCGCCCAGAAAACCTCGCCGCACAGAGCAGGTAGAAAGAGGAGGCCGCCCATACGCTCTCCGAACGCGTCTTGAAGCGGATCCAACATCGTGACGTACCCCTGCTGTCGCATCTTGTTCGCGAAGAAAATACCACCTACAACAGAAAGTCAAGATCACTAAGAACAACATTTTTCCACATATATCTCATTACGGAAACTGAAATAATTTAATCAAATACTAGAATAATATGTATCTTATATATGGACTGAAAGAGAAATATCAAGTTCAATTCATTGTTGTAGACATTGATAAATGTTTGGATATCATAATAATTAACAATAAAGGAATGGGAACAATATATGTATATTTTCACAGAATTTGAACACCAGAAATTAAGTAAATACAAGTCTTTGATTAAGACATTTGAAAAACTTATCGACAGAATGCTAAAAATTTGATTTCTGTTATCAAAATCCAAGAAGCTTAAGCTTGAAAAAGTAAAAAATTTGAGGAAAAATATTAATTTTAAATATATATGATAACATATATGATAATAAATTTAAAACAATGCATGCAAACTGTATTTATATTTTATTCTTTATTTTACGAAATTACTATAAATGGAAATAGAAATGGCGTATGCTGAAACTTTTGAGTGGTAGAAATCTAAAAATAATTTTGTTGGATCAACAAAACAACACACAACAACAAGAAAAATAATTATGTAGGAAACTCAAGCATGATGAGCAATGTTATAAAAAGTTTTGACATTTTAGCAACTAGTTCAAGAATTCTACAAAATTATTTTGATATGACACCAAAAAGTTATTTTCAGATCTGTATCTAGCGAAATTTTTTAATTCTTCAGTCAAATCGCTCTTTTCGTGTAAAGATCCGGATTTTGAAAAAATAACAATCTTACATTTTTTCTTACTTTTTATTACTAGATGATCATTCATAGACGTGAAAGCGAAGCTTTCAATGGAGTTATAGTCGCATTTATTCTTTGTCGAGGTCGTTTGACTGCGCGCGAGACATTGGTGGAAAAGTTATCGCCTTTATATGCGATAGCGAACACTCTGTCGACTGTCTGTCTGTTATATTACAAGAATTCTATTGTCGGCCGCCGTAACTTCTTCAGTTGGGCATATAAGTATTCCAACATCGTGTAAAGAAAGACACGCCATTGATCAACAATCTTTCGATTGTTCTATCGTCGATCTTTGCGATTGCGATAAACTTTCATCGTCCACCCGGCTGATTAAGGCGAACTTACACAATATTGTGGAAAGTTTTCAATATCTTCATAGCGCAATCTTGAGCTTGTGTCATTATTGCTCCTTGTTAGATTTTGACGCGCGACAAGTAACTCACGCACACTAAATTGCTATTATAAAATCTATTTGCCCTAGAAGTCGTAATTTTACAAGTTGTTTAAATTGCACAAAGTCACTAAGCAATAGAGCAAGAACGAACAACATCACAAAAAGGCAATAGTAAAGCCTGATTCATCAATTTTACGTGAAACTTTTAAGATTCTTTTAGATGAAGATGAATGGAAGTAAAGTTTACCGTATAGAGATTTTTATTTGCGTTCCGTATCTTTGGGGAAATTTTTCACGGAAACACAGAAAGACTGAAAAATAAGTAAACTCGTACTTTTTTACATTTCAAAATACTATCGGAATAACTACACTTCGCGTCACGAAGAAATGAAAAATTAACGCAGTCACGAGAATAAGAAATAAAACAATTGGACTCACCGAAAACGAGGCTGAGAGCATATCCAAAGGGTGCCTGGCACCAGACCAGACCCCTGGTGTAGATTGCCTCGGCGGTGCCGTTGATGTAACCACCACCGACCCAGGTCGCCGTCATCGTGAATATCCCGACGAAGAGCCCGATTGAGCGGCCGGCTAGCATGACCTCCTCCTCGGAGTCGTTGCCGGCTTCCTTTTTCCTGGCCGCCCATATTCCCACGCCCAAGATCAGCAGGTAAAAGAGAACGATGGAAACTACCCCGGCGATGTTGATCATTTTCGGGGAATAGGGGTCCACCGGCGTGAGCTCGAGCTGACGGAGACGTAGGTCCGAGAAGTTCGGCGGGTGATCCGCTTTGGGATTGTCCGGATATCTAAATTCAATTTTTTTTTGAACATGTTTTTTTCCTTCAGAAACCTTTATGTGAAAGCGGAATTTAAAAGCATTTCAAAAAGTTGAAATGTCGGCAATCGCGATACTTAATTTAATAGTAAAAAATATATATATGTATATTATTACAAATTACAATTACAAATTTTTCTAATACGTTACATTTTCGGAAAAATATTATGCTTATATATTTGAAAAAGTTATAAGTTTAAAAAACTATACAAACGAAAAAAAAATAAAAATTATAAGTTTCTATCTAGAAGCTGTTTCAATCAATGGAATAAATTTTATTCGTTCACCATCTTATTCCGTGTATAATCTGAATTAAATTTTACAATTTTATTTATGAGAATTTGACTTTTTAAATTCTTTTTTGTTATAACGCGATACATTTTTAAGTGCCAAGCTCTGTTAATTGCTTTTTTTTTTTTAAGTAAAAAAGGTAAATATACGAATTCTCTTCCTTTATTCGCCGCGGCCGACGACGTTAATGAATGCAAAAACTTGTCAGCGTAGGTTTTACAAAGAGCTTATCAATTTTGCGTAGAGTGTATTAAAATCTTCCACTTGATTAACACCGTGACCGTCACACTTGTGTCCAACAAGTGCAGCTAAGCGCAAATATTATGTTTCTACCCCCCCAAGGGGTATTTAAATCGTTCAACCGAGTTCACCCTCTAATCCTGTTAGGCGCGGTCTACCCGAGGCGCCGCCGCTCAATTCGGCTTCAAAAAGGATGTAGCTTCGATTAACGCACTTTTACTCGGCGTAAAATAGAACAAAAAAGGATATTAAAAAAACGGTTTCGCCGAAATATCTAAAGTTAGATACAGATTAGAAAATAATTTTATTGGACCATCAAAATAATTATATAGAATGTTCAAGCTTGAATTAAAACTTCTTGCAGCATGATTCATCACCCTTGAGTTTCCTTTATAATAATTTTGATAATGATTTAATGATAATGCAACAAAATTATTTTCAAATGTGTTGAAATTTTTAAACGCTTCAATAGAATCGTTTTCTTTCCGTGGGTGACTCTTTCCTTACGAAAGGAAAGAATAAGATTGCAATTTATACAATGAAGCACAAAAATGCAGCTTCAAAAGACAGTTTTTCGAAGCGAGATCAAAAGAAATAAAAGCATATGTTATTGGTAAATAATAAAAATTCACCTTGCAAATAATAACAAAGTATCAAAGAATACGTTTCAACATCAAAGGGAAAAGTAAGGAAGAGGCATAAAGGAATGTGTGCATCTTGTACATCAAAATCATAAAAAGCACGCGATTGCTAAGAGTTTCTCTTATTCTTTGTTCTTATTCAAACAAAAATAAGGGGAGAGAATGAAAATGTTATTAAAATTACCAATGAAATTATCAAAATTTCCAGTCAACAAAATAATAGTTCGGTGTGTCCCGCGAAAAAGAGGAGCGAAGTCTAAATATCAGGGATGGAGGTGTACCTTTGAAATCCCCGCGAGGTACAATCACGCAACAGCGGGGGGCAGCCTCACACGGGCACCGGCGGCATTTCTTGAAGACGATGCTTCCAGACGACCGACGACGACGCTTGGTTGGGATTTGGGGGGCAGCAGTCACCCCACCGGAGCGAGGTCTTCTGGGAGGGGCTATTCCTTGTCCTAAACGCGAGGCCGCCCATGGGCGCTGATGGCCATCGATTTTCACCCAACTCACTGAGCCCGCTGCTTCCCTGCCTGCCTAGTTTCTTCGTTTCCCTCCCCCCTCGCCTATTTCCTGCGCCCACGGGACCGATCGCGGGGATCAGCACGGTCCTTTACCTGTAGAAGAACAAGAACTGTTATGTTTAGAGATATTAGACGCCAAAGAATGTACGGAAGTGTTATCGAGGAGAGTATTTCAGTCAGAAGATGTCATCTGGTATTTTAATTATATTTAAGAGCAAGTTTGTAGCAAGGTCATGTTAACGTACAATTGACCAAACTCCATGGTGGTTAACTCCATAAGTTAAAGTTTTTAATCATCTGTGAAACTTGGGCTCTTATAAAGTTATTGTTCATTAATAAACAACGTAAACGATGAGAAAGTATTGACTTTTCTGATAAACATATATTCTTGTCAGCTCAACTTTTTTGTGTTTAAATAGGAAAAATGTCTTTTTTTTTAGCCTCCAGCCATCAATAATTTCTTCAATATGCAAAGAAAATTTACAAAATTGTGTACACTTTTTTACAACGTTATTTTCAATCAATCTTTTAGGTAATTTTAATCTTAGATATAATTCAAATCAACTTTGAGTCGATAATATTTAAATTATATTTTTCAATCTAAACTAATAAGTTTTTGTCATTTGAAAATATAGATTTTTCATGCATTTTAAATTTAATATTTCTATCTATTCCTAAAAGTTCTAATTTAAAAAATGAATAAACAATCAAATAAGTTAATCAGCGTTTTGACATTTAATCAATCCTCGAACATTCACAACTTGTAAAAAATTTAACTTGTAAAAAATTTATCATTCTGATCAACGTCAAGATTGCTATAAGAGAAAGCTTTTATTATAAGATACAGATTCCACAAATAAAATTATCACATATAGTTCTATAAGTGCTGCTCTATTCACACGCGCTGTTTTATATCTAAGTACGAATGCATACGTACAAACTTTGACTGGCCATGGATCTCTATGAATTATTTTTGCGCGATTGTACTCTAAAGCTGGCTGCTAATAATTCAATGCCGATTATAGTAGTTTGATATCATTTAACCGTATAGAGAAAAACGAATTTGTTTTACGTATTTTATTTTGTAACATTTTTCTATGTGAAATAAAATACAAAAATGATAGAGAAAAGAGACCTTCTGTCACCTGCAATTTCATCAGAGACCAAACCCTACTTCTTAGAATAAAAATTCAAAATGTGTTTCAAAGATCACTATTTTTTTTGTTTTGTCTTTAAATCGCTTATGTTACTACAGCCAAATGGTTACTTACGGACACTTTCCTCACGTTCCCACTGAACAGATCTCCCGATCCCGAAGGAACCCAAAGCGGCTGCGACTACCTCATTGTGGAACCGGCGTTCAGCGTAAGCAATCGATGACCGTGAGGTACCAATGGCCGAACCGAAAGAAAACCGGCAACGCAAAGACAAGGTACAGAATCGACTTCACGTAACGGGGAGCGCAACTACCGGTCTCGAAAGGGGTGAGCGAGATGAAGACGAACCGGAGATCGAACGGATCGTCGTTTTCGTAATCGTGGCCGTGATCGTCGCTGCCGCTGTCGTCGTCGTCGTCGTCGTCGTCGTCGGAACGACGTTGCCGTCGTCGTCCCGTACAGTCGCGGGGGCCACCTCGTACTGAGACGGTCGGCCGTCTGCCGCTCTCGCGAGGACCGACGACGACGGAGGGAGGGCATTCGGTATAATATTGATTCGACCCCCGTGACGTCACGGCGGCGCGGCGCGCGGCGTCGCGCGGGGGGGGGGTGGGCAGCGCTCCGTGTCGCGCCGCACCATCCCCCGAAAACCACGCCGTGTCCTGCCGCCTGCACCGCCGTACGTCCCTCGCTATCGCGTACCCCCTTCGCACACCCCCATTCCTCCACGAACCCGACGCCCCCGCCGGGGGGCGAAGCGGGGGGCGTGGACAACCGGCTTTGGCTGGCTGCCGCTGAGTCTGCGCCCCCGACTGCGTCGCGACGGAGATCGCGTCCCCCTGGCTCTCTCCGCCGCTCTCCTCTCACCCCCCTTTTGCACGGAGAGAGCGGAAATTCGGGGGAGAGGGGGAGGAGGACGGATGGAAACCCGGAAGATGGACGAACTGAGGCCTCTCAGGAGATGAAGAACCGGTACTAATATGACTTCGTGCATTATTTCCTGGTGGATGTCGCGTGCATTGGCCGATTCGTTTCCTCGCCTAGAAAAAATAGATGTATCGATTAACGATTTTCTTTCACGACACATGGAATGCCGTGACGTTCGACATCTTTTCAACTACAAATCGTCAAAAAAGAAGATAAAAATTATCGTTAGAATTATTCGATATTAGAAATTGTAAAAATCACATTTAGATCACGTTACCCTCGAACAGCAAAAATTTGTTCAGAAATTCGAATAAGTTTCAACTTAATGAAATTAAGATATAAATGTCAAACACTTTCTATACTTCAGAGTTATAATATTAGAAGTAACATTAGTCTATTTCTGCATCAAGCACGAGTAACTTGATTAGCCTTTAATGGTTAAGTTATTAGCGTTTGCTTTTATTAGAAGTTTAATAATGTCTTGCCATTGAAAACCAAAAGTCGTAGGATATATGATCTATTATAAAGCAAATATGATCCTTTTTTATAAATAATATATAAAATATTCTCTATAACGATATTTATACACTGAAAAAAATATATCTTAATTTCAAATAAAAATTTCTTTGCTCGTATTCAAAAATGATTTTCTTTGAAAATAAAATATTGTACGACATCTTATTGTCACAGAAATTGTCATTGATCCAAAAAAATTTTTTTGAATACGAGCAAAGAAATATTTCTTTGAAATTAAAATTTTTTTTCAGTGTATGCAAAAGTATTAAACATTAAATATTAATTTCTTTTTTTTTTTTAAATTATATAAAGATTTCCCTTAAGGAAAAAGACAAGTTAATTCTTTAATACAATGATGTCTTTTATCGATTGCGACTCCTACGTGCCAATACAACACCGAGATCTCATTTTAAAACTCGACGAAAAATCAGCTCCAACTTTTTATCACCTCTGAATTATCAGCTATAAATTTTAGGACTGACATTTACAGTAACATTTTGGAGATGTGAGTGGGCAGAAGTTAGCGGGGGCGGCAAATAGGGATAGGTGACGAAAGTGAGGGCGAGGATGGAGAACATCGATAGAAAGAAAGGCGCACGACCTGGTGAATCGATTACCCCGAAAAACATATATTCACCTCTCGACGATTGCCACGTTTAATTACGTGGGCAAGGGCTGACGTTTTTTCATGAAGCGATCGACTATTATTTTAAGAAATTAAAAAACTACAAAAGCGTATCATTGTAGGAGGGATGAAGATCAGATTCTGAATGAAATGAAATATTCAAGGGATGTCGTCAGGTGTGTCGAATTATGAAATAATGCACGAGTGGAACCGCACGTTATACGTCGGTACTTAATTACTTCTTTATAGCAAAGACGTTCCTTGGGAAGCGAATTTAATGACAAAATAATGCAAATTTGTGAGCATATAAATTTGCTTACGTCACACGAATGGTAGTCGGCTAATTAAAGCTACGAATAAAAAATTATTTATAACTCCGCATATTTAATTTTCCCTTATTAAATATAATATGTTATGATAAAATATTAGAAGCATCTAATTGTTATAATGAAGTACTGTAGACACAATACATCATTAAATAGACTTTTAATATATACAATATAGAATATACTTTTTATAGTCATCTTTTTTTAGTTTATTATGGTTTATTATAGCAATTAATCCTTTAAATAAAATATTTTTATTCTTATTGTGCTTTATTATATCATTTCCCTATTTTTATGTTGTAATATAATAATTGTGCAGTTCAGTAAACAGCAATAAGTATAGCATCTCGCGTAAATCTTAATAGTCGCGTGAATTACAAATTTAGAGACGTACTCTTCGAGAATAATTTATAAAATTTCAAATTTGTACTGATACCGTACAACGTGAGTGCCAAGAATAACACGGCGTTAAAAATGCTGACGTCAAAACTGCGGAGAAGCAAGGAAAACCTATTAATGGCTGAGTAACGGTCGCGTTTGTTATACATAGGTCAATATAGAGCGCAGAGAAATATGGTTGATCTTCTAGACTGAGATAACGCAACAAAATGCAAATAATTGCAAGAATAATTTAGATCATAATGCTGAACGGACAGATTGTAACGGTAGATTTCCCTTCCTGTAATTCTTCTCTTTCTCTCTTTCTCTCTTTCTCTCTCCCGAATTTTGCATGATCAATATCGTTTGACCCATTCCTGTCAAATTGAAAATTGCATTTGCTATTCTCCTATCACTTCATACCACATTCTATATATATTTTAAGCATCTGAATATAGATTTCTTGTTTCAATTCTAAATTTTGTAACATAAACAAAATACTTTTTTTCTTAAGAAAAAAATAATATTTGCAATAAATATTAACAGAATATAAATATATAAAATTATTGCACTTAATTATTCCACCGTAGTGAGTATTACGAAACAATTACAATTTTTTTAAGGCATTTTGTATCTTGCACACAATGTGACATCTCTTTAGTTATTACAATATATTATTTAATTTATATATAATCATATATTTTTATATATATTATATATAGTTTGTATATATATTATATATAGTTTTATATATAATCATATAATTATATAAAAAATTGACATATTTTATGTATAATTACATATAAAATGTGCCCATTTATTAGCAATGCTTAGAATATCTTAAAATACTTATAAAAATTTCGATAGAATCGAGATATCTTCTACAATATGCACACTGGATGCTCAATCCTATCAACAATCTTACCAAGGTAGTTCGCAGTGTCACACTCGCTAGTATTCGTTCTAAAACAAGAAGCTATTGAATGTAACAAAATAAAAATTAAGATCATTCTTTCACATTAAGCCCGGTCTTTTTTTAGTTAAATTTCTTGTATGCATCATTCAACTTTATTTTTATTTCTCCAAAACGTGAAGAGAAAAAAAGATGAAGGATGAACCGTGCAAAAGTTCAGGAAAGTTCTGAAAAGATTTCTGATTCCACATAAATATTAAAATAGGGAAGAAAAAGAAAGATCCGACGATAATAACGGAAATCGGCAATTTCCGTCATTATCGTCGGATCTTTCATTTTAATTTTTATAAAGATTAAAGATTTTTCACGAATCGTGGAATAAATTTCTACTAATTCTTATCAAGTCGCTCTGGCTTGAGATGAACTGCTTTGGTGCTATCGTGAGCGTGACGCGATATCGTGGAACGATCGTTACGCATGCTAGTAAAGGTGGTGATTCGGCGAATTAAAAACGACAACCAGTTGAGTGAGTTCAGGCGACCCCGACAGCCTACTTGTCACGAAGTCAAGCACTGACATCCGCGGAGAACCGGTGAATTGAAATTTACCCGGCCACGTGTCAGGTGAAGCACCCGGGACAATAATATGCACGTGCGTCGGCACGGCTCGTAACTGGATATGACGAAACAAGAGGGTTCCATTGGGTTATCATAGGGTGATACGAGGCCACGACTCCTAAAGAGTCTACACGTGACGCACTTATAGATCACAAACGTTGTGTCATGTTTCAGAGTAACGATTCCTCCTTTTGGTCTAATATGTACATACCTGTCGTTTAATTACACAAAGCGGCAGAATAACTCTTAATTTATTACTAAAATAATAAAATCCAATTTTTACCCTTCCTTACTTTTCCGCGTTTATTGATAAATTTTCTATTATTTTGTAATTTTCTGTTTCTATTTCATGAGAAATCTTAATGACACCTCTTATTACAAAAAAATTTGTTAGCAGCTGCCGATAGTTGCTTTATTGTGTGATGCGCATGTCCTAAATAAGGTACATTCTGTTTCATACATAATGCGCATATTGTAGAAAGCCCAGGAGATTGATATTGCATTGGAATTTGATCAATCAAAAATTTACTAAAATTAACATTAATTTCCTTTCTTTTGATTAAACTCAGTCGAGTCTCAGAACTCCACTTCGACCAACTACGATTAACTTTAATCGACGGTTAATCCGTGGAATCTGTCGTTGACAAATACGATTGGTCAATTCCAATGGACTAATCGTCAATTGAAATTAATCGGAGTTGATCGAAGTGGTCCTCAATCTGCATTTTGAAACGCGGTGAAATTACAAAAATAATCAAATTGGGCGTTAACCTGTGAAATTATAAATAAAAATTACAATAAAATATTTGTGCATTTTGTGATTTTTACTTTAATCTCGTTTCAAGATATAACAGAGCTTCTTTATTCTTGAAAAGAAACATTACATATACTATAGCACTTCCCCAGTTTTTCGTATACGTTCCTTTGCAAAAATAATAAGTTATAGATTAGCAAGTTGTCGTTCCGTCTGCAATTTGACAGCTTTGTTAGAGTGTAGAGTTAACTTGGATCTACAACAAATTTTTAAGCCATAAGAAATGGACGAATCATAATTATTCTTCTCACACTCGGCTGTAACTGATCAGTTTCTTACGGCTTAAGACTTAAAACACCTATTGTAGATCCGGACTTATAGAATATAAAAATTTATCATTCTGTCGCATATTTTGTTTTCGCGCCATTTTTTTTTACCCCGATGGCGGGGATCAGTGCCAATCAAAGGAAGAAGAAGAAGAAGAAGAAAGATCTTCGACGAAATACTCTTCTAAATCTAAAAGTATGATCCAATCAACGCGAGAAAACTTCCAACTTATAAATTAAACATTCTGTGGAACGCAG